AAAGAGAGAGATCCCTAACCCTAACCCTAACCCTAACCCTAACCCTAACCCTAACCCTAACCCTAACCCTAACCCTAACCCTAACCCTAACCCTAACCCTAACCCTAACCCTAACCCTAACCCTAACCCGACACAGTGCCGGCCGCTGATGATTAGCACTGTATGCACTGTGTATCCCTAGATACTGCCGTCGTTTCTTCACAACTTTCTCTTTCTCTTTCTTGCGCTACCGCGCCTCTGCCGAGTGCTAAACACGCGCTCGCGCGCGTACAGCGGTACACCCACCCGCCCAAAGTCTTAAAAAGTCCTTTTTGTCTTTTCTGTTTTGCACTATACTTATACCTAGTCTACGCCCTATTCAGGGCCGTGCGAAAATACACTGTATCGCACTGTGCAGACCCTCAACCTTCAACCCTGACCCCCCTTGTGAAACCCTGACTAACTAACCCAGATAACCCTCCGCGTCACCCGTCAGTGGCTTCCCTACTACTACCAGGCACTGGAGTCCTCACCGACAACAACTACAAAACTACTCTCAAGACTCTCCCTTCGGAGAGCGAAAAGTCTGCCTTCCCCCCCTTAACCCCAACAGCTGGCCTCTTACCTTTCTCGATCAATCCAATCCAATCCAATCCAATCCAAAACCTGTGCTTGTGCTTTAGACTTAGGGCTACGGGTAAAACATCAAAGCGATACCCCAGATGTTCCCCTTCCCTTCAAATCCAAGCCCCTACCTATCTCATCTCATATCCCATACCGGCAACTGAGACGAGATTAATCAGCCGCTTGGCCGCCCTGCTCATCCTACAGCAGCGAGAGCCTAGGTTTCCCTATTAGAACACCAAGCCGTGACTGCAAAAATCTCTTTCCAGTCTAATAGGGAACAGACAACCAGTTGATCATGAATCCATTTATGAATCGCCTCGGATAGGAACCCTCCGAGCTCAATATGCACTGCATATATGGGCAAGGCGACCAGCCAAGAAAAACCGCAGACGTCACTAATATCCCCCTTGGGCTACCCGTCTGCTCCCTTAATCCTAAGATCAATTGCCTAAACCATCACGGTAGTACAATTGTCTCTACAGCCCCGACTTGAGAGACATAGATTGGGGAGGGTCGACTGTGGCTAATCTCAACGGAGTGAAAGAGCCGGAGAAGAGGAAGAAGAAGAAGAAGAAAAACGAGAGAAAAAAGAAAAGAGAGAGAAAAAAGAGAAAAGGCATATGTTAATAATAAACTTAAACCCAATTGATTGAATCTGTCAACCTGATCGTCAACCCTTCTCGCTTCGCTGCTGTATATCCCCATATTCATAATATGGCCGCTGCTCTTCCTGTTCTGAGTTTGGCTGTAGTTGAAAGTGGAGAAATGGTCCGCTCCAAAATTTGGGGGACTGCTTCCCTTTTGAACCCGCCCAGCCAACCCTTGCAGCTACCCCTGCCCCCCCCCCCCCGGCCTTGGTCATCATCCTAGTTGCCGTAATTGTGACTGCAACGAAGCATTCTTCTCGTCTGCCGTTCAAAACGGGACATTAAGAAGGACGATATCCATAAGTTTTGTGACCTTATTGAGGAAATCGCTGTGCCTTTTATCTTAAAGGAAGATGCATCCACTCCCGGCGCAAAAAATATATTGCTGAGCCGGCTCGAGGAAGAAGGGACTCGTCGTGGCATGAAATACTCTGGGGAAATATATTGAAGTATGTTTTCGTTCGACTTGTACTGTTTAACACAAATACATAACTTTTCGCCCATCTTACGTGAAGAAATACATGTTGGAGTGGTGGTGATGATGCTGGAGTCGCGACGTGGTTTTTCCGAATATTATTACTGGTAATTCATTTTTTCAACACTCAACGAACTACCCTGTACCAAACAACCCATTCCGTGGCCGCTACGTATTTTACTCTTCAACCACCGTAAAGTACATATTCGACTTAGGCTATCTAGTATTTAGTATTGCGTCGGAGTTCTTTCCTTCACTTGGTGTGTATTATTTTACAGAATTTTTGGGTCGAGTATGATGTCGGTTTTGAAACATCGGTCCAAGTATGGTGCCGGCCAAAACTGCCTAATTTCCCGTTAAACCTCGACGGCTTATTCTAGCTGGGCAACAAACCTTGTCCAGGCTTTGGGACCTAACAACTTGCTTTTTTTATCCGTCGCCTGCTGCGATCATAACTTATGCACGTGTGCGCTACAAAGGTAGCCTTAAAATTGCGCAAGAGAGTACATCATAGTTCTCACCCCATCATGTACGCTCTGCATACGTTCACGCCGCCCACCCCCGTCTGGTTCGACAGTGCACCTCAAACTAGTGTTATCTTCGCCATAAGGATGAAAGGTAGCTATTGCACTATCTATTATGGAGAAGCCTCTGCCCGTCTTGACTGATCTTCACAGTGATTACTACATTACTCTAGCTTGGCTGTCATCTGATCTCTGACTGCCTTTCTCAAACGTTTTTGTGGCCTCCACGACCCATCCGTTTCATCTGTCTGCGCGGTTAAACTCGTGTCGCCTGAATGGATCGAATCCGTATTGGCAACAGCCTTGCCAGCTCGTACACGGCCACGCCGTCGGAAATATCTCCGGAGCCTTTCCCGCTCATCCGCTGTTCGTGGATATTTCCTAGCTAGTAGCTGCAGATAACGACATCCTCGTGACTGTGCTGCCAGATCTCTTGCAGCGTCTTGCTCGGCTTGTCGTGTCGCGGAACGCGAAAACATGCGAGATTGTCCGATTTCGGGTGTGATGCTCGCAACTGGAGAGCTGGGGTCGACATCGCCTGCCTCTAACAGTTCCTCGAACAATCGACTGAGTTCATCTAGAGTCTTATCCCGGATGCGTGTAACCATCCGTAGTTGGGGCGGATGGCCTCTCTCTACGACGGGAAAGATACAACCCCTGTTGTACGCCTCAACCGCACGGCCAAGTTGAAGTGCATCAATGTCAATACAGTCACGCGTGCTCCTGACTAAATCCCCGGCAGACCAGTGGTAGCACGGCTTTGCATTATCTGAGCTATTCACCCACCCAGTGATGCCGAAACGACGCTTGCATACCTCTGATAATAGCTGCGATAGATTATCTTGCACAGAGACGTGGCGATCTACGTCGTTGACTTTTCGCGTTGGCATAGCTGGTTCGTGGTGCCTTGTGGACTTATCCAATGGGGTATTATGGATAATCGAGGCCCAGGTAAGCCGGCGTTTGAGATTGGTAGCCCGGCTTTCCTTTGTCGTCGTTAGAAGCTCTGTGTCTGATGGCCAGGGCAGAATCCAATGCGTCAATAGCACAATCCGCCTCAGCTGTGCGTACCACTGTGTTGCGGCCGCCGCCCCAAGACCCATCTCCACGAGCTCGATGCTTCGACGAGTTGCGATACGGTAGGGCAGCGAAGCCCACCCTCTCCGACGCTTCATAGCCGTGCCAGTAGAGCTCGGCGAGAATAGGTCATCAAAGAGATCCTTCATGCTTGTCGACCGTATTTTGTTTCCGGCGACAAGGTGCGGTCTCGTGTGGCTCACATCACGTTGACGGTCGTGAAACAGGTTCGATAGCCCATCGTAGCATAAGCTTGGTGGACTAGACACTGGATAGCTCATCGACGCCTCGTCCGTCACATCAGAGCCCGTCTTCCAGCTAATACTCTTCAAGGCCACACGCCAGACATCCCGCTGAAAGAGCTCGATGACTGTGGAGTGCAGGTATTCGAGCCACAGTCTCTTTGCCGCCGCGTCGTCCTGCACTCGATATCGCCCTAGCCAACTCTGGGCTTGCCACATGCGAACGTGAACGTCTCGAATATCCTTGAGGACTCTCCATTGACGCTTGTAATCCTGGCGTAGGAGGTCGTTACCTACGGCGAGTCGATCGCCAACATCGGAAGCGAACCGCCAGGTATTCCAGTCAAACTTCCCTGGTAGCCACCAACCAAATCCGTGCGACTTAGACGTCTTGTTCAGACCTAGCCCTTCTCGCTCTACCTTGACGATCCGCGCTTCCCCACCCTCAACTCTCACGCGCTGCGTCGACGTCCATCTATCTCCCCAGAGTACCGATTCTTTCGCGATGAGGGAACAATCGTAGCTGAACCGAAGTCCACGAAGCGCTGCTGCCATAACAACAGTCTCGGGAAGTGAATATTTCAAGCCGGTCTGCGATTTTACATACTCAAATAGGAAACAATATCGATTGACGCTAGCACGGAGGAAACGGGCCATCGTTTGAGAAGAAACGGAGAAGAATGGATGGTCCCTCTCTTTATCTTCTTCATCATCGCCTGACCCATCCTGCGCGGGGCTAGATGAGAACATACCAGTGATACGCCGTAGAAGGGCCAATGATACCCTGTCTTCTGCACGTATACCATATGTGAATGGGTGATGTGTTGATTCTTCATGATGTATCTCATCATCATCATCATCATCCTGGTCGACAGCAGGAACGTTGCGATGAATACGGAGCTTGCTCAGACGGTAGGCACATTGTACTCGGGACTGGTGGGCATGTGCCCCTCGTGTGGAGTTACGTTGATCTCTGAGATACGATGGGTCTAGCGCCATGCTCTCGGTGTGGCGGTTCTGGAACGGGTACTGCTTAGCTGCATCGAAGGGAACTTTGATGAGGTTGTAGAACTGGCTATACACGAGACCGTTTCGAAGCTCCCAGCTTGATGAACTAGGAGTGATGGTCATGTCTCTCGCATCGCGAAGAGTGACAAACGGATAGGTCGTCCTGCGGATTGGCGGAGCCTGACGTTTGCCCGATTCGTCCTTGCAAGCGTCTTCCTCACGATGATACAGCCGATTTTGGATCCGGCTCCACTGTAGCCGGCGACGCCAGAGCCTATCCATGCAGCAACGGCGCCAGATAAGTACGCGTCCATGTGGTCCTGTATCGGCCGGCGTCATCTGGCGGCCGATGTCAATGTAAGTGACATCCGGATCAATGTACGCCTCGTCAACCGCAGAATTCCAGTGGTGCTGCCACTCCGCGAGTGCCGACTCGAACGTGGGCCGCATCCATGTCAGTTTGGTGTTCTTAGCAGCCATGTAGAGTCGCAACCCTGCATATTCAGGCCAGAGAGCAGCCCTGGAATGTATCTCCTCCCATAAAGCTGCGAGGTAGCGGGACTGAAGCGTGACGTAGAAGTGCTTGCGTCGTGACCCCGGCTGTGCGGCCGGACCGTCTCGTCTTTTCGCTCCGGTAAACCCATCCAGTTCTTCTTCCATATCGGCCTCATCTTCCTCCGCCACCGCCAGAGCTACTAACGCTTCCCGGGGCGCACTGCAGTCCGAAGACGCGATGGCATGTGTCTTTGGGATATACTGGAGTATGTTATTGTCATCGACAACAGCTTGTATGGCGGGCAGCATCACCTCCTCGTACCAGTGCACGAAGTTCTTTTTGGGAATACAGGTCTGGCTGTAAGGATCGGAGAGCTTGCCGGAGAAAAGGGCAGGGAAGAAGGCCCAGATGAACGTATCCGCAAGGCCAATGACACGTCCAAGGCAGTAGTTGGGGACATTGTGGAGGCGAATTTTTTGGGATCTCCGCGCGGTAAGCTTGAGTACGTTATCAATATTACGTGAGGCATGATGTTATTTTCGAGACCTAAGCGCGCGCTTTAGACGTATGGGAGGTTTCCATGACCCGCTTGAATCGGCAGAGTCGCTATCACTTGTATTGCTCTTTACGCTCTCGCTCTCCCTCTCGACAGATTTAGATTCTATTGTGTCCTCGTCTGCTGTTTGGTCACAGTTAAGGGCAGACTTCTGATGGCTGAATCCATGCCGTGTCATCCGGTTGTTAGAGCCAGTGGAAGACTGACTTAAGCAGGGGATCGTGCAACCTAACGGCATAGAGCTGTTCCCAGCTTGTTTGTCCATGGACTCGGTCTGTACGATCCTGATGAGTTCGCTAAATAACTGATCTAACTCCTCAAGTGTGCTATTACGTATACGTTTCACTAGCCTCAATATCGGTGGTCGGCCCCGTTCAGCAAGGGGGTAGATCTTCCCATTGCTACAGGGCTCAACAGCTCGACCAATGTTGAAAGCATCAACAAAAAGTGTAGTAGCGGTACATTGAAGAAGATCATCAGGGGTCCAGTGAAAACGTCTGTCCAACGGGTCGGACTCGGGTGTCCATCCAGACGTTCCGAAGCGCCTGGCTGATGTTGTGATCATGGTTTCACAGAGCTTGTCTCTTATTGTGATCTGGCGTTCCCTGTCCTCCATAGGACAAATAGGTACGGTAGAACGACAGCTGTACAGACGTAATAGATCGGGAGTGGCGTAAACAATAGAGACCCAGATCAGTCTCCGTTTAAGGCCTTTCTTGCGGCTCTCCTTTGTGGTAGAAATGATATTTGTAGTGGATGGCCAAGGCAGTATCCAATGTGTCAGTAAAAGGAGCCGACCAAGCTTCATGAACCAACGAGACGCTTCTGCGCACCCTAGGACTTCACTTATGACCTCAAAACTGCGCCGCACAGCAATACGATAAGGAGTGATTTTATGGTATTTTCGTGGTTCAAGTCGTCCTTCATGGAGATCAAATCCCAAGAGGTCACATACAAGGTCCCAGATATCCAGTGAACGAACCTTGTTACCCGTCAGAAGATATGGTCGAGTGTGACTGATACTCCGGCGTCGATCGTGGAACAAGTCTTGTAGAACATCGTAGCAATAATCTGGGGGGTCAGATTTAGAGAATTCAGTGGCCGCCTTCTCGTTGAGGTCAGAACCTGTCGTCCAGTCGAGGCTCTTGACGGCTTCGGACCAGACGTCGCATTGGAAGAGCTCGATCACAGTACTGTACAGGTACTCAAGCCAGATGCCCCGATTGACTGGCCGTTCTCGAACTGAGTAATGCTGAGCCCACTTATAGGCCTGCCACATGCGTGCATGGACATCACGAATGTCCTGAATAACCCTCCATTGACGACCATAATCGCGTTGTATGATATGGTGGTTCGCAATAATTCGATCGCCAACATCATTTTTGAAGCGCCATTTATCCCAATCAAATTTACCTGGGAGCCACCAGCCTAGCCCATAGTCCCTTGAAGATTTGTACAAGCCTAGACCTTCTAGCTCTACTTCGTCACCCTGCTGCTGATCGTTTTGTGGTGTAGTACTGCGGCCCTGTCTCCATCGATCTCTCCACAACAATGGTTCCTTTGCGATGATACCAGACATGCTGAAACGGAGGCTACGGAGCGCCATTGCCATAACAGCAGTCTCTGGTAATGAGTAACTGGGTCCAGTCTGAGACTTGATGTGCTCGAAGAGGAAACAATACCTATTGATATGGCTATGTAGGAAGCGTGCCATGGTTCTTGACTGTATGGCGAAAAAAGGTGGCTCCAGGTCGGGCGTAACCTCTTCATGGACAGCCGAGACGGCTGTCTGCGAGGGGGCCAAGTGAGGGAGTATACGTTGTAGAAGCGCCCAAGAGAGGCGATCCTCAGCTCGAACGCCATATGCGAACGGAACTGGGATCTCGTCTTCACCATTTGGAATCAAGGCAGCTCGAACCCGAAGTTTGCTTAATCGATAAGCGAGCTTGAGAGAAGCTTGATTTGCATGACTTCCACGGGTAGACTTTTCACAATCAGCGAGGTAGGAAGGATCCAGAGCCATCTTTTCGAGCTGGGGGTTCTGAAACGGGTACTGTTTGGCGGCATCAAAAGGAATCTTGACGAGGTTATAAAACTGGCTATAGAGGAGACCTTCACGAGCCTCACGGCTATTGTGGGTGGGTGTGATTGTCATGTCGGCCGCGTCGCGCGTGGTGACGAACGGGTACTCAGCTTGACGAAGGGTTGAGACGCCACATTGACGTGGCTCAAAAGACTGTGAGTGGTTATGTTCGTCAGGCTTCGCCGTGTTGTACTGACGACTCCATGCTTGTCGCTGCCGCCATAGTCGTCTCAGACAGCAGCGGCGCCAAATAAGGACATTAGACTCAGCAGCAGACCCAATTTGAGGGGTATATTGACGACCAATGTCGATAAATGTACAGTCTGGATCGAGGAATTTCTTGTCAACAGCGGCATTCCATTGATTGTCAAAATCACTGAGGGTCTGAGCGATATCCAAGTGCATGTATGCAAGCTTCAGGTTCTTCGCCCCCATGTATAGTCTTACGCCAGCGAATTGTGGAAATGCTATTATTCGCGATTGAATTTCCTGCCATATCGCCCCAAGGTGTCTGTGTTGAAGTGAGTATGAGAGTGCGTTGCTCCTTGTGCCTTGACCAAGCACATCCATACTCGCATTTGCACCTGTAAGACACTCAGTGGAGATACCCTCCTGTCGAGCGCGTGACGTAGATTGAGCGACTCGGCGGCTTGGGGGAATGTACTGGAGTATGCTTGGATCTTGAACTGCTGCTACAACCGCTGGCAATAGGACCTTATCATACCATAATGTGTATTGCTCCTTGGGAATTGAAGTCCGCTTATAGGAGTTATCATGTATGTGGCGATGGCACAAAGCAGGGAAGAACACCCAGATGAATGTATCTATCAAGCCCTGAACCCGTCCAAAGCAATAGTTTGGGATATGATGTAATAGACGTCGTTGCTGGCAACTCCCTCGCGGCTGAAGATTGTTGCGATGAAAGCCTTCGGTAGGGATGTCGAGGCTGATGTGAACGTCATCCGTGAGGTTGAAGATAACATGTGGTTGCGGGTACCACTGAATACCCAACCTGGCGACAGCCAAGGACGAGGGGAAACTACATATGCTGTCGACGTCGTACGTTTTTCGGATGAAGTTATCTGTAAAAGGCTGTGCAAGGCGATGTTTGGCTTCCAAGCAAAGACTCGGTGGTACGCCACCGCATAGAGATCCTTCAAGAGCGATTTGGCAAGCTGCCCTGTAATCACGTTGACGCGAGCTTGTGTGCTCTTGTGAATTAGAATTGTGAGGCAGGTTATTACTGCAAGGATCGTCCGCCGAAGAAGCATGATCGAGAATATCAGAAGTGGGTTCAGTGACATGCGGTAGGGGGTCATGGCTATGATCATCATTCATCAATCCATCGAGCCGAGCGATAACATCTTCTAGTGAGTCACAAGAACGGTGGCAAGCAGTCTCGATTAACTTCCCGTGGTCTGCATCATGTTCTTCTCTTGAACAGCTTGGATGCATCATCCACTCCTGAGCAAGATGTTTCTCGAGCCTCGGGATTGGGTTCTCTGAAGGCGGCGGATTTTGAGGGCGGTGATTGGTAAATTCGGGGATGCCATAGGATCTATCCTCAACATCATGGCCATCGGCGACGTCATCAATATGGTGAAGAGAAGCTATAATCAGGGTCAGTTATGCGGGTTGTAGCCAGGACTCGAGATGGTGCTTCAAGGGATTTGAGGCGAAACCATTCTTGACAGGCATCTCGCACGGGAGTGAGATGAAGAGACTTACCTGAATGAGGGATAGATTGCGTGCCCAGGCTGAAATGAGTCGTTTGTTCTTCTATAACTTGGCGAGACTGGGGCGTTGCATTACCCGTATGTGGATCATCATCCTCCACAGATGGTAGATCACACGGTCCTTCAGCTGAATCCACCTCTACGCCGCTTGGTTCGTGATCGATCAAAGTAGACTCGACCGGCAGTGGATCTTCATCTGGTATGGGAATGTGGAGTTGCGACTCCAGGTGGAAGCCGGTACTCGGGTCCGTTGACGATGCAGCTGGTGACTGCCGAGACAACGTATGGTGGTAATGCACGAATTCTGTTTGGTGCAGTTCGGCGGGCGGGAGAGAGGGCTGCACGGCTTGCTGATGTTTTCGTTCGTAGTATCGTTGTGATCGTACGCGCTGCAGAGCACGCTCCCGAGCGACCCGCGCTTCTTCAGATTCTGTCTTCCTGGGTCGACCACGACGTCTAGGGGCTGGTTGAGACATTATCTTGCTTGATCTCTGATGGCAACGGAAATGGGTTCCATAACATTAAGATCTGCGAGACGCGTCTTCTGGCTGGGCTCGTAGTTTACATAATCGCGTTAAAAAAAGCAAAAACAATGAACAAGAGCGCGGCATCCTTCCAAGGTGCTGGCGCCCAATAAGGCCCGGCCTTACAAACAACCTCGAGACATTTCTTTTTAGAATTATCGCAAAGAGAGCTACGCACTGTAAGTCTTTGTACGATATTTTGCACTAGCATATGACTCCCTATTTCGTCAAGGCTTGAGGACTCAATGAAGCTACCAGGCCAATTGAATGGTAGCTCTCCCCCTCGTCGCCTTGGATTTTAGGGTAATAGGTTTCAACTGATCAGGAAAGGTCGCGAAATTGTGTCACCAGGTTTTCGCGCTAAACCAGATTGAATTAATCGTGAGCCAAGACTTTCAAAGTGGGTCGTCGCTATACCTATTTGAATTTATCGTGAGCCAAGAAATTCTTTGTCATCAACCAACTTGACTAGAATCAATCGACTAAATATTCTGAATCATCATAACTTATTCCACAGACTTGAGAAAAATCGGGGTCTAGTTTCATCAAAATAAGCTTGTCTCGCTCTATCATATACTTGGCTTTTGGCCCATTTTGAGAAGTTTTTGTTCTCTGAACTCACGCATCAACCCTAACCTCCATATCCCCATATGAGTGGCTTCTTCTGCGGCGGCGCTACGCGTCGTAAGAGGATATCCTCTTTGAGCCACGCCGCTAGCTTGTCCGGCGTTACGAGCTCGCCGTCGGGCCAGCTATAGAGTGAGCCGTCTGCCGCAGCCCGGGGCGTACGGCACCAGGCCTATAGGTTTTCGTCTGTTAGCCGTCCATGGGGCTCCTGCGTAAAAAGAGGGAAGGGAAAGGGGGAAGAGAGGGGGGCGGCCGGGGAGGACGCGCCTTCCACTCCCGCTGCTTCGCAGCGTAACTCCGCGCCGTGTTCGCCAGCTGTTCGTCCTTCTTCGCCCGGAGGGCGGGCCTCCGGGCGGCGCGGGCGCGCTCGTCTGCGGCCGTGTACGAGTCGTCCGCGGCCATCTCGGTCGATCGAGGCCTTTCTATGCGGTGTCGTTTTTCCGTCCGGAGCTAGATAAGTTGCGGGGGACTTATCAAACGCACTTATCAGGCGTCGCGCACACGATTTCACGGGCCGCCTTTTGCGGTGGATAAGTTGTCACGTGGTCTAAGCGAATTACGACGTAATTGCGGGCACCATCGATAAGCAATTCCCTTCACAAGGCGATACTGAAATTGCATGACAAGACGACATCAAGTCATGTTCAATGATCTTAAGAGTTATAGTGCATTTCATTACGAAAATCGCGCTCACGACCTTATGCTACATCTCGCAGCATTGGACTCCAATAATAGTTCCTGTCGACGGGGTAGCTGACTTGTACAGCTCTCTCTTATGATCATCATCTTAGTTCCTTCTTTCTACCAGGTAAAGACAGTCCGAGACGGAGAGTAAGTGTCTCTGAAGAAGCTTCAAAGATAAGAGTGTCGGGATGCGTTTGCTCCTTGGTAACTTTGCCATTCGATTGACTCCTGTGAAGTGCTCATTTTGTGAGATATAATGAAAATTGTGTGCTTCCGTAATGAGCAGCTTCTTGAGGCTGCATTCTCTTATTATGTAACAGCCCGTGATGTAATGATCGTCATGGAATTGAACTAGCCATCGATTGTATGGGGTAAGATCTGACCGTTTCTTCGCCAATCCCAAGTCGCGTTAGCTCTTTCAGGGATAGTACAATTAACCTTCACATTTAGCATGAGCAGCTTGTTCTTATTACCCCTTTGAGCGGCACGAGGCTCCAGACAATCTTTACCGGCCTTGTGGCGGAGGTGCGATTGTCGAGCGGAAAGGATAGAAGATTACTTCACTGCATTTTTAAGTCGAGCACTGGGGGGAAAGGGACCCATACACGAGACGTACGGTTCGCCTCATAGGCCTGAGTTATGCGTATAATGGCAATCCGAACCGACATTTCCAGAGTTTGGCACGCCGATGGTTGGTTGGTTGGTTGTATTCCTACTCGGTTTTAGCCGCTTTTTAACAGCAGCCATGCCCGGCTAGTGGGGTTTGGCCGACAGCCGAGACGCACCGAGTATTCATCCGTGCCGCCCCACTTCGCCAGACATCAAACGATATTTGGCCAGCTGTCTCCAAACTTCCCACTTTCTCCTCCTCCCTAACTTCTATCTACGTCGGCCGGCCAGCTTCCATAGATCGTGGTTTGAGATACTAATGTACATGTGTGTTTTGCCTCCAGCAAGGCGGACTGTCCGCCTCGTGTGCGGGTCCTTTCTACCTACAGTCTCCCCCCAGTGCTCAGCTTTGTCTGGTCAGGAACTGATCCTGAATTGCCCAAGGATCTGGGTTTGCTCCATAAATTTGACGACTTTTGCTGCTACTTTGCGCTCGCTCAGCAGTGTTCGAAGATTTTGACGTCCTGGACATTGTCCTAGTTCCAGGTTTCGGAGTGCAGAGTGCTTCCTGCACTGGAGCAGAATGTGAGCCACTGTCTGTCGCCCTTCTCTGCAGTCGCATCCCGGGTCCGTGAACCCTGGTACTCTTTGTCTGAAGAGGAAGTCATTCATCCCGATCTTCTCGGTGCGAAGTTGAGTGTATATGGCGCTCTGCCTCTTGGCGAAGTGCTTGTGTGGCTGTAGTACTCTCGGTGTTGGTTCTGGTGTGTGCCGGAAGGTTGCCCTACCCCTAGTTTCCTGATGCCATTGTGCTTGCCATCTCCTGTTGACAACTCTGCGCGACCACATCTTCAGTGTGGCTTTCAATGAGCGTAATATTGGAGGCTGCTGTGCCCTTGGACCTGGTGGTCCTCTCTGTCTCCATCCCGTGGCTTCCTTGGCTGCTCGATCGGCAGCTTCGTTACCGTATATCCCCTTGTGGGCTGGAATCCATCGAACCTCGACTGGTAAGCCTTGCGCCCGCAGTGTCTGTATCCTCTGTGTGATGTCTTGGAGAAGGTAAGATCCTGATTTACCCCTTGGCCTCGCTACCGACCTAATGGCTGCTTGGTTGTCTGTGTAGATCATGACTTTCGTTCTGACGTTGCCTTGATCTCGATCTTGTTGAGCGATCTGGAGAGCTAAGGAGACCCCCTGAAGCTCACCGGCGTATACTGTCGATACAGTGTCTTCACCCATATAGGCGCTCTTGGCTTGATTGGTGGTGGTACATACTGCTGCTGAACCCACGTGACCGTTGATACGACTTCCGTCCGTGTATATGTGTATGGCGTCAGGCTCCTTTTCGATGCTGTGCTGGTGCCTTGACCGTGCTTTCTCGGCATTCTCCCCGATGAACGTCTTCGGGCCTATCCACCATGGGGCGACGACGTACGGGGTAATTACCTCTAGTTCCTTGAGACTGAATCCTTGTTCTTCTTGTATGGCCTTCTGTATCGCTCTGCGTGGGCTCATTCTGATGTTCCGCTCTCGTATGCGGTTTGCGCGACGTTGTTGTTCCTGTTCCCCAAGGGTTTCTGTCCCGAGGGTGATTCTTCCTAGACACTCGGCGTTGTGTTTCCAGATCTGGTGCTCGACGGGAAGGAGATATGTCTCGACATCCAGGGCTGGAATTGATGTGGCTTTGAAAGCACCAGAAATTGCCCTGGCCGCTCGCGCCTGTAGACGTTGTAATTGCTCCAATGTCTTGTGGGTGTACGGCGTGTTCCGTGTTTTCCAGTTGGCGTTCGACCACGCGGAGCACGCGTACATGATCTGCGGCAGCACAGCACCCCGATAGATGTTTCTCATGTCATGGAACGTAAGGCCCCAGGTCGAGCTTCCCAGGCTATGGAGAGCTGAGATCGTCCTTGTCGCCTTCCGCTGTACCTCATCTAAATGGGGTTTCCATTGTAGTGCAGAGTCCAGGATGAGCCCCAGATACTTGCAAGTCTGCTTTGCGGGGATCTCACCCCATGTTGTGTGTAGCGGATGCTGTGTGTCTATTCTCGTCCGTGCTCTAGTGAAGTGTATCAGCTGGAATTTACTAGGCGAAAAGACTGATGCGTGGGTTTTCGTCCATCGCTCTGCTCTTTGGAGTGCCCGTTGGAGCTTGGTGCAGGTTTCTATCGTTGAGCCTCCCCATGTTAAGATAGCTACGTCGTCGATGAATCCAGTCGCAGTGGTTTCCTCTTCCAAGTCACATTTCTCGACAAGGTCTGCGTTGTAGAAGATGTAGAGAATGGGTGAGAGGGGCGAGCCTTGTACTGTGCCTGTTGAGACTATGTGTCGTTCTGTTTTGAATCCATCGATCGAGATTCTAGTGTATCGGTCTTGAAGAAGGCTGGCGATCCACCTAACCGTCTTCTCATCAATCCTTCTCTTCCGTAGGTTGTGTAGGAGCCGCTTGTGTGATACGTTATCAAAAGCGGCAGAGACATCAAGCAGGAGAAGGCTCGCCACTTGCCCTCGCCCCCTGTTCCAAGCTTCGTAGATCTTGTCGATGATGTGGTGTATTGCATGCTCGGTTGATCTCAACTTTCGACCTCCCATGTGTGTTGAAGGGAGCAGGTTGTGTATCTCTGCCACGTAACTTAACCGATCTGCTATAATGGCATCCATGATCTTGCCTATAGTGTTTAACAATCCTATCGGCCGGTATGACGCAGGGATGGTGTAGTTATCTTTTCCTTGCTTCTTTAGCACCACCGTCGTTGACTCCCTAAAGTGTTGGGGACAGTATCCCAGATTGAGGCATTGGTTGTATATCACCGTTAAGTGAGGCTTAATCCATGTCACCGCCAGCTGAAGTGCCTTGTTCAGGATACCATCAGGGCCAGGAGCTTTGAATGGAGAGGCTTCTTGTATCGCTCGCTCTACTTCTTGTTCTGTGATGGGTGGCAACGCTATTCGATCCGGATATGTTGAGCCTTCGATATCGCCAAGTTCAGCTTCCCGTGGGGCGGGAAAGAAGGCCTCTCTGAAGATTTCCG